GTGCGGAGGAGAAGGGACGACGTATGTATGTATGTGTGAGTGAACCTTGATGAAATGCTGGGCAGTGCCGCTTTTGCCCGGGGGAACTTCTGGCGTCGCTATTCCCGTCTTGGTGCGTTGGGGCGACGTGGTTGTCGTGCTCGTGGCCAAAAGTCCTATTCCATGTTGCCGACTGTAAACGACGGGCGTTGCATCTTTCACCTTGCCGTCGAGTGTGCTTGAATGATGGAAGGAAGGAAGGGAATTTGCTTATCACGGGGTCATCGTGCTGCGGCCGGCGTCGCGTGTCGTCACGAGAGACCTGCACAGGCTTCTTGGCCTCGTCACCATTCACACCTGGCTAGCTGGCCAGCTCTTTTGTGAGCATATCTGATGTGCAGGAACTCTGAGAATCAGTGTATTCCAGGCATGGATCCGGGGTCGAGATAGGCGCAAATGTCAAGGTCAAGGTCAAGCTATACCTACGAGAGGGCTTTGAAGCCAAACCAGCCGGAAATACGCCTCTTGTCTATCCTGCCGGGCTCGCAGTCGAGCACGATGATGGAATGTACCCTTGAAATAGCTTGCTTTACCCACGAGCCTGCATACTACCGCTCCGATATACCTGGCCTGCTCAACCAATTCCGAACATATGAGGCATTAGACCCGCGGGATAAAACCTTTGCATTTACAGCATTGGCCACGGAGACCGAAAGGGCAACTATAAGTCCGGACTATTCGGTCCCTGTCGACGTGGCATATAGGGGTTTCGTGTACGCCTTGATCAGCTCGCAAAGGAATTTGCATATCCTAGCACTGTCGGGACTATGCGCAAACACGCGTCCTGGTTCTCTTTTAGACCTCCCATCTGCCGGGATCTAATCCCTGGCTCACCTTTGCCTTACTGGACCCCTGATTAGACGGTAATGCTAGAAACAAACCTCGTTTGCCAAACACGAGATCCCGGATGACGGCCAGCCCAAACGGCTATATAAAGCAGCAGGTTCCTTTATGCCTGCGGTCCGATTATCCGAGAATGTGAATATAATGAATGTCCGTGGCTGCACACTTGACAGGGTCTTGCACCTTTGTCCGGAGTTTACTGGTCCGCTAATACCAGAAACGATTCGGTCCTGGCACGATTGGGCCATGGCTCATTGTGGAGACGCGAATATTCCACTGCCTTATTGCATAATGCCTTTCTTTGTACGATTGTAGCGGATGTAGTATACTTGGAGGGACGATGCGTCCGGGGGTTTTTGGCCGAGTGGCCCGTTCCGAATGGGCCGGATAATACTGGGAAGACTTTTGGTTTGCCTTCGGCCATTTATATGGCGGTCCATAGCCGACAACTGTGTATCCCTGAGAGGGGATTCTCAGGTTTAGTTTGATTTGATACACGTAGGGGTGATGAACTTTGTCTCCTTCATGGCGGACATGTGCCGTTCATCTTAGCGCAGGTTGGGGATACGTACCGATTCAATGGTGAGTGTTTTGTACCCGGCTTGATGGACGGGGATGGCATGAGCTATCCGTGTATCTGGAGGGATTTCGCTCTTGGATAGTGTGCTTATCTCGATAGTTTGTACTAGTAGACCTCTATTGGTACCTAGTATTTGAATGTGTATAAGGGCATAAAAGGCACAGTAGATCTTTGTCTAACTGGGGTCCTCTTCTTTCAGCGCAAGATGTGATTTCTTACATTGCTTCTGGAGGTGAGTTCCTTGGCTGCAACTGGTTGGTTATCGAGTCTATATGGCGTCGTGGTGAAACCTGAAGCTTGTGGGAAATAGAACCTGGGCAAGGGCGGCCACAGCACTAAGCCTGATGCGCTGTCAGCCGCAGGCATTTCGCAAACGTACATACTAGAACCTGACAGTAGCTAGGGAGATGTCGGAACTATAAGGTAGCCAGTGCCGTGGCTATTCAAGGTGCTAAGATAGTTGCGAGTAGCCCGGCTGATGTGCTTGTGTGGGGCCGAGGTTAGTTGCCGTTTCGCCGTGATAAATGGAATAGACTGCTCAGGGACTCCGTAAAATATGGTCGCCGTTTTTGTTGATGGGGCCAAAGAGATTTCTCCTTAATCAGGCGCTTCTTGGACAATATCAACAGGGGAAGAGCCGGGAGAGGAGGGGTTACAAGGAGTAATAGAACAAGTCGCTGTGCCTTGGCACTTGCCGCTCGACGCCCTCAGCGTCTTGCCCGCACGAGACCCAAGTTACTGCAGGAATGCGAGGCATGGGTGTGTTCAGGCTATTCGCTTTATCCGCGGCAGTTCGAGTATCATAACCCCGAATTTTCTATTGGATAACTGGAAGGGGGTTTGCTGCGACGCTTTGTCCAAGCCTGCGTCAAGAAGAACTGCCACAACGTCGTCTTCAATGTTGTACGGATGGTGATGATGCCTGATCTAATTCGAAAGGCGAGAAATGCTGTGCAAAATTGAGGAGGGCCTCACAACCCAGATTCAGAGGCGTTGTTTGGCCGGGGCCTGTCCTGATAGCGGGAGTTGTTTTGATGAAGAATGTTGCAAGTCAACGGGACATGTGGACTGGATAGATATTATACGACAACACCAACTTCAACAACTACTACGGCCATCTTTCAACAGGCACGATAATAGGTGCTGGTTCATCTACTATCTGTGGAGCTTCGGACCACGCCAATACCAATCAAGTCTTCCTAACAGGATATTGCTGGTGGCGGCGGCAGCGGCATTCTTGTAATGTTTGACGGATGGCCATGGCAAGAACTTGCGATTTGAGCTATTGATCTAGAGACACACTAGTCATTGGAATACAAAGCTGGGGCTTCTATCCGTATGCAAAGCCGCTCTTGACGCAAATAATGATTTTGCGACGTTACGAGATCGGGTCAAGTGTCTATATCGCCTTTTGCTGTATACGACAATAGTCTCGACAGCCGTCATAGAAGAGCCGAACGAACGCCTCCTCAGCACATGGACAAATTCGGTGGGCTAATCAACACGTGCAATCAGAATCGTCCCGGATGCTTTTTTCGTGGATTTCGAAAGCGACAATCAATCTGCCCCGTTCTCAACCAGCGGATCAGCGTCGTGCCAATGTCGAACGACAATCACATGGCGCAGAGGAAGCCGGTTCGGTGCTAGACTCGGTTATTGCCTCTACTCCAAAGTTCAAAGACGACGGGCTATACTTGCCGGATGCCAGCCATGGGATGCATGTGAGCAGACCAAAGTCGCTGGCGCGCATCTTAAACGGTGAATAATGTCGTGGGTGGGACAAGCATGTGAAGAGGTTGCCCAGTTGTATGTCCCAAAATGTCATTCAGTGTAACTGTAATTGGACCGGTCCTCAGCCGACAGCTCACGTTGCGAGTGCCGAGCTCCCCAAGCTTCCAACATCCATGCGAGCAAAAGAGAACTATCTTGTTTATACACGTGGTTGTGGTAAGTCAAGGCTCTCCTTCGAAGGCTGTGCTTTGGTTCCTAAGGTGCAACAAGTTCTCTTGCTGCTAGATTCTCCGCTCGAAACCGAGAATTGTGACCATCAAACCGAACCTATAAGGATCGTGCGCAAAGGGAACCATGTAGAAACTCTAGTGATGACCGCGATGTTGTTCTTTGGGATGAGACGCGGTTGAAACGTATCAACGGCATCAGGCGAGATGGCCTTGGGGTTTGCCAACACCTTTCTCGGTGGCTGATGCGGGCCATGGCAAGCCATCATCATCCTTCAGACGATTCACGTTTATGCACTTCTTCGCCCCAAACTCAACCATCAATCAAACACATCAGAGACAATGCCACACGGCCGATTTGCCAGGCGCAATCCGTAAGGACGAAAGGAGAGTGAGACATATCTCGGAGGCCGGCACACTGCGACAGAACCTGCAACACGGACAGAGACAGAGACACTTGGGTATGGAGTACTGGGCGGATGGCGGCGGTGACCTCTGCGAAAAAGACTAACTGGCCGGGGTTGAGACCCTATGGTGGCGGATGCAGAGATGGGATGTACACAGAGACCCTTGTCAAGCCGTCGGGGGAAATCGGAAGATGAGCAACGAATCGTTCAGGAGGAAGACATCTCCACAGCATGGTAAAGTTCAAGGAAGCTCGATCAGCTCCGGTCGAAACCGAAGCCATTTGCGCAGCAGCAATTAGGCCACAAACACACATAGACTGCGAGTTTTGTCCACCGGATACCCAAGATTTTGTAAACGGGACCCCACGCGACAGTGAGACTGTCCAAAGCGTCGATGAATCCAACAGTTGGCGTCAAGAGCGCGCCACTAGAGAGGCAGGCGAGGTTGGCTGGCAGGTCTTGGCTGCGGCACCCGATCCCGTAGTGTCCCGGTAATGTCTTGGGTTGCAGTGGAGCTTCGAGCACGACAGGGATTCCATTTTGGAGATTTCGAGACGTTGGAGTTGAGCCAAAGTGCCGTGGATTTCAGGCTTTTAGGTTGCAAGTGATATGGCCAGCGGGCAGGCTTTTTGCCTAGGAGTTTGTGGGACGTCTACGCGCCGAGCCTCGACGAAATTGGCGCCCTGTTGTTGAACGCCAATACGTCAGATACCTGTTTGCGGGTGTTTACTCGAGTGGCGGTGATGGTTAGTTTGTGAGTCAACAACTGCCGGGCATCGAGTCTCACCTCGAATGTGATGTGCATTTCATTGCCCGGTCACTCTCGTACGCAAGCAATGAGACACGATGGGGCGTTTGTACGGACCAAGAAATACCCCACTAAAAGAAATCAATTCCAGCTTGGGTTCCATCAGCAAAAAGAGCATGGACAGGGACATGAGGACGGAAATGATGGGATGAGCTCCGAACGGCCCAAGGTGGCTGCATGCAAAATGTTTGGACATGATTGCGTGCGCCTCTGCCCCAACGGACGAGCACAGAGTACACGGAACATGTACATGTCCAGCAAGTACAATGGATTGTGTAGGGCAGGAGCTCAAGCCGCAGCTTCCTTCTGCTCAAGTATTGGAATACACACAGTACTTACATACTCGTCCGTATTAACCCCCAGTCTCATTTAAAGATGGAATGAAGTTGCCTGAACGCTCCTTCCTCGTTGCTGCTCCACTTGCTGCGGAGGACCTGCTCACCACGTTTCCACAGCCCAATGAATCGTGTGAGCTTGAGAAACTGGTAGAAAAATTTTCGGTGCTCCAAATGAAGCTGGAAGAGATCCATCTTCTCCCACATTGCACGCTCAGGACCTCCATGCCAGACCCATGCTGCGAGCTGGCGAGCGAGCCCGGCGCCCGACGGACCCTGGAAGGTCTGGGGGAGGCTTCGGCGGTGGAGCCTGGCACGCAAGCCTTGTCGTGAGTCGAGACCTGAAGCTAGTGGAAGCATCCCGCTGAAATCCAACCAGGACAGATCCTACCAAGCGGCGACGGGGGACGGCACAGTCACTGTTGTTGAACCAACACGTTTGGAACAGCTCAGCGCCGGTGAAGGGGACGAGATCGGACATGGCGAGGCATCACGCGACGACAAATCCTGGAGAGCCATGCAAACAAGCGGAAACAATTGTCCGGCTCTTGTCCGGGCGCTGTCCGTATGACAGGGCGGGCCACGCGAGAGACTCGGCAAACATGGAACCAAGCTGGCAGCTCGAATAACTGCAGGTTCCAACTTGCAGGGACGATTCCCAGTGGGGGCGGGCGGGAGCAGCACCCCAGGTCAGGGTGCAGTAGCGGCCATTGCCAGGGGCAGTGAGCCAATGTGTTTGGAACAGGAGGATACGTTTAAGTACTCTGCAGTACAGAAACTGGACAAGTAAGCTACGCTCTGGGAGAGGTTCCGGCGAGGCTGACGACGCAAGGCCCCAAAGTACATGGTAGTGGGCAGGTCGACTTTCGTCGCATCGGGGTGCCATCCTCCGGCAACGGCCTCCGAATCAGCCTGCCATTCTTCCAATAAACGGTCAAGTCCAGCAAATCATCATCAACCTGACTATAGCCCGCGCCCAGGCTTGCTTCGAGACGTCTCGCAGTCAAAGCCTGACGCTCGGAAGAGTAATAGAAACAGGTCATTTGTCCTGTCCAGTGTACTTCTGTTGTCATTCATGGCTGATATCACAGGCAAAAAGACACAAGGCAGTTACAAAAGGCCAAAGTCGTCGTGGGAGGGCCCCAACAATTTCTGTTGGCAGCGACAACGGCACCAAGACTAGCTCCAGTCAGTCACTTATTCATGAACAGCCTGTGCTTCCTTTGCCAGGCACAAGACCCAAATTAATCCCGCCGTGCCGTGGGTTGGGGCAATTTGAGGGCATCGTATCGACTAGTTCAACTAAAAAAAAATTGGGATTCAGATTGGCGCCGACGTGGCGCCGTCTGGTTGTACTTTGGGGTCGTCGCCAAACATCATTCTTGACTATTTCCAATACTATTCTCGTACACGTGAAGAAGAAGCAGCAGCAGGCAATACAAGTCTTTGGCAGACTCTGGACGCAGCACAAACAAAGCAGCAGCATACTTTCGATTTATGCTTTTCGTGGGGTTCTTTTTATCCTTGCGCGCCGCCACTAGGGAGAAACCGCTTCCGAGGAGCCAACGACCTCGGAACCCGCGCGACTAGTCATCATTAGACCTCGGATTCCCAGGCCGGCCGACCAGTCTGTCAAACTGCTCCGATTGCTCCTCCGGCTTCTTCTACGTGAGGACGAGCGTGCTGCTGACTGTCTTGACAACTCGAGCTGTCATTCCTGTGCCTTCTCGGGCGCGCTTTAATTATCGGGAGCCCCCAACTCTCGCCCATCAGTCATCCTTCCCGCTCATTACCCTTCCCCGTCGCCGTGGCTCGTCGTTCTCCGGCGCAACACGCCGCCGCCCTCCGTGGTCCAATTATCTATTTGCATCTCTGCCTCCCCCATCACAATTGTCAATGCCGCGGCTTTAACGCTAGGCTGGGCACATTCCATTTTTATTTTTACCTATTTCAATACCTATTATTACTCGCCTCCCTGCCTCCCGCCATTTCTTCTCTCTGCCCGCTTACACCTCACTTTGTTGGCCGGCTCCACACCAGCAACGCACCGCTTGGTCAACAAGTCCCAAACTCCCAAGGTACAAAGCATCAGGTACCTGGTACTTCGTACCCGAGAGTTTCGTGGACTCCAATCCACCTCGAGCCCACCCGTCCGCAAAACACGTCCTCGAGACCGTTTTTTACTCTTGCACTCTGTCAAGCGTCTTTGGTTTGGATTTTCGAGCCTCTCTTCGAGTCTTGAAACCCGCCCCCTAGGCGCACTCATACTTGTCAGTCTAGTCCTCCGACAAGCCCCGGTCGATCCCGCTCCCGTCCCTTCCCAGTCTGCACTTGGAACTCTTCTGCCCTTGTCACTCCTGGCCGCTCCCATCGTCCCCTAGTTGCCTCACATGCATCGGCACCGTCTCTCGACCTTGGTCGCATCCCCTTGGCCTCCTGTCGGCGGCGGACTGTCATCCCCCAGGCTTTTATTAAATCGCCCATCCCTCGCTGCTGCAGGAGTGCAGGACCCATCCAATTTGACGGCAAGATCCTCAGCTGCTTCCGCCGCCCTCCGCCAGCGTTGCCCTGCTTCTTCCGTATATTTTTCTTCATCAGCTGCCGCTGCTGCATTATTGTCTTCTGCTCCCTCGACACCCTCTCCCACATCTGCGATTTCTTCTCCTCTCACAGCCATGCCAGTGCCGTCGCCTCAAGGCTCTGAAAGCTCAGACGTCTCTACGCCTCGCTCCTCCTCTCCCTCATCGTCGATTGGCTCTGGCCGCTCTTCTCGTACATCTGTATCTAATAAGCGAATGTCCATTTCTGGTCGCAGACTCACCCTCTTCAATCCCATGTCAACTGTCGACGTCTCTGCTATTGAAGAAGCAATGAAAATGGCAACTCTTGACCAGCACCGTGGCTATGTCAAGGACACATATGGCGAAGTCCAGCAAGAACGGAACACGGAATACTTGGCCAAGTCGCAGGCTGCCGGATATCAAGTCATCCGTGAGCCTCTCTGGAATAAGGGTATGTTGTATCTCTCGCGTTCCTTCATCACCGACCCTAGCCCGGGCGGTAAATCCAGTAGATACTTGGTTTTCAATATATGCGCGCAATTCGGATGGTCGCTCTTCGCATCGTGAAATAGTCGGTGGACAATTCCCTCGAATGTCATCATACTAACAATGCCGCCCGTTCGCCTTGCAGGTCTCTCATTTACCCCTGAGGAGCGTGCTACCAAAAACCTCACCGGTCTCCTGCCACATGCCATGGAGTCCCTGCAGACTCAGTGCGCCAGAGCGATGAAGATGATCCAGACTCGCCAGACAAGCATCGACAAGTATCTGTACCTTTCAAATCTGAAGGACCAGAACATTGACTTGTTCTACCGCCTTTTGATGGACAATGTCCGCGAACTCATGCCGTTGGTCTACACACCTACCATAGGCGACGTCTGCCTGCAGTACTCAAGCATCTACACTCGCCCCGAGGCCCTGTATATTTCAATCAAGCAGCGCAAATCTATTCGAACCATGCTGAGGAATTGGCCCTGCGCTGATCCCGAGATTTGCGTCGTCACTGATGGGTCTCGTATCTTGGGCCTTGGAGACCTGGGTATGAATGGTGTGGGGATTTCGGTAAGCAGAAACAGAATAGCATTTTACACGTACATCATGGCCCGAGTATACTGACCAAAACTCTCGAAAGATTGGCAAGCTAGCCTTGTACACGGCTGCCGCAGGCATTCACCCTGACAAGACTTTGCCCATTGTCTTGGACTGCGGTACCAACAACGAAACCAACTTGAAGGACCCCCTGTACCTGGGTCTCAGACAGAAGCGCCCCTCGTTCGAGGTCCAGCAACAATTCATGGATGAGTTCATGGAAGCTGTGAAGGAAGTGTACCCCAACATGGTAGTCCAGTTTGAAGACTTTGAGAGTGAAAAGGCATTCAACTACCTGGATCGTTACAGAAACACACACCGGGCTTTCAATGACGATATCCAGGGGACCGGTGCCGTGGTTCTCGGCGGGTACGTTCACTCGAACATGATGTCTTTCCGCACAGCTCCCGGAAGCACCTAGACTGACATATCACTAGATACATCGGTGCTTGCAACTTGTCTGGCGTCCCCATTGAGGAGCAGCGTCTAGTCTTCATGGGCGCTGGCTCTGCTGGCGTGGGTGTGGCCAAGCAGCTTGTTGAGTACTACACTCGTAGAGGATTCTCAGAGGCCGAAGCCCGCGACAAATTTTTCCTTGTCGATACCAAAGGCCTAGTCACCAAGGACCGAGGTGATAACCTAGCAGAGCATAAGAAATACTTTGCTCGCATTGACAACAATGGCCACCAATTCCGTACTCTGGAAGAGGTCATTGAATATGTCAAGCCCAGTGCCTTGATTGGTCTCGCTGCTACCTTTGGCATCTTCACCGAGTCCGTGGTCCGAGCTTTGAAGGCTTCGGTTGACGCCGGTGGCCTTGGCCGACGTCCTATCCTGTTCCCTCTAAGCAATCCCCTCACAAAGGCAGAATGCACGTTTGAGCAAGCCGTACAGTGGACCGATGGTTCTGTCATTTTCGCCTCCGGATCCCCATTCCAGTCATTCACCGTCAAGGTTGGCGGTGAAATTGGGGAAGTGACATACCACCCCAACCAGGGCAACAATGTCTATGTCTTCCCCGGATTGGGTCTCGGTGCCATCCTTGCCAAGGCCTCGCGCGTCACGGACAACATGGTGTACACCTCGGCTGAGGCCCTGGCCGGCTCACTGAACTCTGAGGAAATCCACAAGGGTTTGATTTATCCCAGGATTGAGCGTGTCCGCGAGGCCAGCGTCATTGTTGCCCGCGAGGTCATGAAGGCTGCGCGACGAGACGGTGTTTCAGAACTCCCAGAAGCCTACTGGCATGAGTGGGAGGAGTGGGGTGATGTTGCCTTGACCGCGTACATCAAGCAGCGCATCTACAACCCTTCCTGCTTCAGCGAAGCTCGAGGTCGCCTGTGAGGGAGAAGGAGGCGCGTAAGAGAAGGCAAAATATGGAGCCGTGATGAGAGCAATGGACATGTCGATAATATGAGTCTGGCAATGTGAGGGAAAGGGCGGAAAGCTCGGCCAATGAGTTCCAGAGCCGGGAAGCGGGTTTTCAATAATGGATATGAGTCTCCAGGGTGGCGTTTGTTTTTCCTGTTTTGCTTTGTCTTTGGAAAACCAGCCTGAGCGAAGACAGCTGGGCGACTAATATATATCTGGCAATGCATGTTTGCATGCTTGCACATACTAGACATTCGTTAGCCATAGTCTTTACATAGCGTTGTGCCTACCCTTGAGGCGACGACATGTTGAATCAACTGTCGAGAACATGTTGCATTTGCTTCTGCTGTATGTGTGTTTTCAAGTTTGTTGTTGTGTCGACATGTCGTAGAGAAGTGGTATCAGGATACCCAACACTTTGATAGTAACAACATTGAAAGGAAAAAAGGCAAGTTGCCACAGTGGTGATGAAGTTTGTAATGCACGCCCGGCAAGTGGCCGATCTGAAAGTCGATTCGAGTGTGGATGCTCACAACCCCGTGGCCAAACCGATGCGGGGAGGCGGCGGGCAATCTCATCGGTCAGCCGTCGGTCAGCCGGGACGGCTCCGCTCCTCCATACTTTTCCAGGTTTTCCCAGAATCCATAGGTGAGTCCGGGGGAAGGGGGGGCAGAGTGGGATACGAGTATCAGGTTTGTGGTAGTAAACGCTGTCCTGTGGTGTTTTTCTTCAAGCCTTGCGCGCCCGCATACCCGGGGGCTTTGGTTCACAGCGGTGCGCGACTTCGAGAATGAACAAGAGCAGTTGCAGAGTAAATCACACCTTCTCTTTGGAAAATATCTTGCCAGACGGGGCGAGGAAGGAAATGTAATGTAATGGGATAGGGGAGTTTCGTGGCAGGAACAAAGGGAATAATCATGGCTTTCCGTGTCTGGAACTCGGAGGTAGCCTCGGTGGGCGGCTATCTCCCTCGGAGGGTCGGAAGGCCGACGGGTTCGCGTCGGGGACCGAGCTGGTCAAGGGGACATGTTTACCCTGGAGCTTGGCGGGAGGCGTCTGGGGACACGGGCAGAACGGGGTCTGGGGAAAAGTCCGGAGAAGACAGCGGTGGATTATTTTCGGAGGCTGGTTTATTGGTTGGTTTTTTACCTGAGCTTTCAAAATGTTCTACGGGCTGATTTTTCAATTTGCTCTTTCTGCGCGATGTTATTTTCACGATATCATGGCATTCATGGACACGGACATTCTGGCTGCCAAGGCGAGGGCTATCAACGCCCTGGCTGTCGTATGGTGATGGGAGTACGGAGTAGTACTGGAGGTTCGTCACGTTCACCACTCGTGGTTGTGCATTCCGTGAGGCGCAGGATCGGATCCGGAGTGGGGAGCTGTCTGGGCGGGAGCTGCATGGTCGGCGATGAAGATCCATGGACACACTGCGAACCGGAGGTCGCAGCGCAGGCGAGGCCGGGACGACAGGGCAAGCGGCCACGCAGCGATGCTCCCAGGGCCACGGGATACGACGCTCGAGTCCGTGGGATGGACGTCTCTTTTTGCCAATATCAAAGATGCCCCTCCCCCCTTTCTGGACGCACGCCGCTTGCGGTGACAAAATAGGGGATTAGAAAACCATCATTTCATCTACACCCAGAAAATCCCAGAGGAGGGGTCTTGGTAACCGCATCTGGATCTTGTTTCCAATGCCTCGCGTGGTGGAATCTACGTATAATTCTGGGAGTTGAACCCCCTTGTACGGAGTAGAGTAGCTTCATTACAGAATGCTCCATTTGTACGTAACTACAGAAAGAGTCAATGGTGCAACAATCCATGGAGCAACTTAGTCAGCATAACAGCGGCATCGGATCCGCTCGACAGAAAAACGGCGTGACCAAAGGGCTGGCCAGGGTGGCCGGAATCAAGAGTTCAAGAAACCCCCCGCAGGACAAATGTCTTGCCATTGATGCGATCTGCAAATGCGGGACAGGCTGCTTTAAACAAGAAGAGACAAACAAAAAAAAAGGTGAGACGGGTGTCGCTCACGAGGGCAAGCCACAGGGCAACTGCTTTCAGCCCACCATCGTGCCCGCATCTGGGAATAAAATGAGATGGCTGCTCCACTGGTCCGAAAGTTGCCGACGACAAAAGCGCATGGCGGTGTTCACGACGAGACACGGCGTCTGCACTTGCGGTTGGTGTCAATGTTTCCCGGCCTACACGTCACCGGATGGGTGGAGATGAGGGATTGATATCAAAGGGTGTCATTCACGGCTCTCTGCGTGCAGGAGCATGTCGATTTCTGGACGATTTCTGAGGGTGGCACGACCCGAAGCTCCGGGTGATGCAAGACGGGGTGGGTGTATGGCGGTGATGGCTGTCGATTCCTCCCCCCCCGCGGAACGGCATACCATCGGATCGGAAGCTGGGGGTTTCGGTCGAGGTGGTGATGTTATTGATTTGAGGTTGAGCTGCGGGGGGGGTGTGGGTGGGGGGGGGGGGGGGGGGGGACGGCGTTTGAGACATGATTGTCATGGAATGGACGACATGCGGACAGGGTCATTTTGCATTGTTCTCGTGCGCGGGTAAATGCAAATTCGCAGGTGTAGGTGCTCCTGGTGATGAGCGACGACAGCTTTCGTTGACTCATCTTGGGCAGTGTATGGAGTAGTTCAAGGGCCGCAGGCAGAGCCAAGCCGACGACGCGTCAACCCTTCCCCTACCCCAGATTGATTTGATGCGGTCCAGTTGACCCGTCTGAGCGAAGCGTAACCATTCATTACGTTGAAACTACTAGTAGCCGCATCGATTACATTGAAACTACTACTAGCAGCAGCAGCATCGAATTGATGAGGGCATGCCAAGCATCGGGGGAGGGGGCGTGGCGCTGCAGACAAAGGGACTTGGTTCAATGACAATTGTGTCTGGATTGGAAAGCTTTAAAACTTGACCTTTGGACCATCAAATTGTATTTCATGTGCAGGCCGCAGAGTTGGTCCACCAATGGCGCCTGGCAATAGTTGAACACACTTAATGCATGTGCATGCATGTGAGCGAGTGAGCACAGCAGCTTGGCCCCTGCCGCCCGCCACGCCCTGTTGAAGAAAGAACCAAAAAAAGCCAAGACAGAAAAGCACGCAAAAGTCTGCAGTCTCCCGTGACAGACCACGGCAGGGGTACGAGTTGGGAAAACGGCCTGCAGCCAGGCCTTTTGGGCATGGGCATTTGTGCTTGATGGAAATACAACGACAGCGGACGGGCCTGCAAAGAAGGCCAACTGGTGCTTCCTGCAGGTCATGTTGCACCTCAGTTTTTTTTTTTTTAATTGATATATTTTGCGTTTTCTGCCCATGTGCCATGTATGCAAACGCAACACGTCAGTGATGGCTTGCTGGAGTCGCGACAGGCCCCTGGAAAGGGATAAAACATGGGGTACGAGAGGCGCTTGCGAGCCAACCATTGAACAGAGTTCAAGGCAAGTTCCGGACGTGGATCTGCAGGACAGCGACTGGTCCAACTGCGGCTGGAGAATTTCACACCATGCGCTAGCTGGGCTAGTGTTTCGTTGGAGCTGGACGGTCAACTGGCGGGCGGGAGTTGGAGCTGGCACCTGGGATGCATTGGCTTGGGGGCTCGGCAGGTGTCATCGATTCGATACGGTCATGGAGAATCCAGTCTCCAAACGCAGGTTGACGAGCGCACGTGTATGTAGCTAACATGCTTACACAAGACGGACAGGTCGAGGCGGCCATCACGGTCCACGGACCACGGCGACGGCGCAGTGAGCGTACACGTTCCGCTGTGCCATCCATGGCCACGGTGAAGACGGGACGCGGAAACCTTGCGCCCCTTGATGAGCGCCTCTCGACTGCAGCTCACCGTGAAAAGAAGCGGCGATCCATGCACTCGGATGGGAGCGCCACTTCCACCGGATGTTGGAGGGCCTCGTCTGGTGGAGCAGCCGCCATGATGACCAATTGGTAGCCGCTAGTTTTTTGGTAACAGCAGCACGCCTGTCAATATTGAAATACCATTGACCAGATCGACAGCATCTAGAGACGAGACGGACGAGACGAGAGGCAGCGATGACGCCCACTCTCCAGAGAGTCGTCCCGTCATCCATCGCAGCTCAACAAAGAGCACGGAGGCTTCGGGCACCAGAGGCCAGAACAAAAAAAATAAAATCAAGTTGCCCAGGCACTGGCAAAAAAAAAAAAAAAAGGGCAGCCAATACCGATCAAGGTGAAGGGAGCCATGTCACGGTGCCATTTCACGTCGGATCCCCACGCATCCCCACATCCCACCTTGATGCCACCTCCACTCCGGCCTCGCACCTCGTCCAGGCGTGCGGGCCTCCGGGACTGGAGAACGAGGCGTAATCCCACGTCAAGACGCAGGACTCGAGCTCGTCAGATATAATAGCATTCCACCCCCCCCGGAACCCACCCCCGGATTTATTCTGCCGGCCTCGTAAGAAAGGAGACTTTTTATCCTTTTTTTTTTATTTTACTTTTTTGTATTTGTCTTGCTCTCCTTTGGCATTATCCTTCCTTCGTCTCTTGGACCCTCTCCACTCCTGGAATTTTTGTCTTGTCAAATCGTGTCGACTCGAGGCCGTTTATACGGAGCACCTTTACACTTTTGCACTAGCAACCGTTCCAGCACCCGAAAATTGGCCATTTGGCAATTCACCGCCACGCCCGTTTTGCCAATTCGTTTCGAGACTCGATGAGAAGCTACGGCGAGCAGCACCCCCGGAGCAGAATAGCGCCAACTGAAGGACTCATCTAGCACCTCGAGGCGTCACCGGTCTCGAATTCCAACGGCCTATCGACCTGCAAGGAATACTGCCCCCCTACCCTTTTTTTTGGGACGCTACATGTATTGAATCGCGGCCGATAAACTGGCCGCATCAAATACATCTTGGAAAATCACCATCGACAGACAGGAGGGCGCGAGAGACAACAATGGCGGAATCCATCCACGGCGCCTCGCCGGCCTCGTCGCACTCAGACTCGGGCGACAAGAGCAACAGCAAAAAGAGAGCCTCGGCGGGCGACGAGTCCAGCGGCCCTCAAAAGGTCACCAAGCGCAGGGCCGCCCGGGCTTGCGTATCGTGTCGAGCGCGCAAGGTGCGCTGCGACGTGGTCGAGGGAGCGCCCTGTGGCAATTGCCGCTGGGACAATGTCGAGGTGAGCGAGCCCGACTCTGACTTCTTCTTTTGGACGGCTGCACACGCTGCCGTTTTTACCTTGTTTTTATTCCTAATTCTTAATTTTTTTTTTCATTTCTGGACGCTTGGCAAGCTAACCTCGTCGCAGTGCATCGTGCAGGAGAGCCGTCGGCGAAAGTAAGTCGAGATGGGAAGAGTCCCGCCCCAAGCTGCATTTTGATCCGACTGCCCGCTCCGGCGCCCCCGGAAATGCCCCGTTCGCCCGTCCTGCCTGCTGCTTTCCTGCCAATGTGGCCACGTACCCGCCCCATCCGCTTTTACCGGGGGGGCCTCAGTGCCACTAGCCTGGGCTTCGGTGGCTGTACATGCCGCCTGGTACCAGACTTGTGTGAAGCGGTTACTACTCCTCCGTACGAGCAAGTGGTCTGGCCCGCTGGCAGGCGGAATTCCTCCTCGACGTCCCAACATGCCCAATTGATTCTTTCTTTTCAAGCTGACGCATTTTTCAACTTTTTGCAGAAAGAACCTCGTCACCCCCAGCGCCGTGGGACCGGGCGCAGCCGAGGCACAGCTGCGTGCCAAAGCCACCGCCGCCCCGGGCTCGACGTCCCTGGCCACGCCGCCGCTGTCTCTGAGCAACCCTGACATTTCGCACCTACACCGGACCGGCAGCGTGTCTGCCTTTTCGTCAAGCAGCCCCGATGGAGCGACGCCCTTGTTGCCCAAGAATGGTGACGGCCACGTGCCGCATATGCTCTGTAAGTTTTGACGCAAAAGCCCCTCCTCCCCCCATTTTTTTTGTGTGTGTTTGTGTGTATTCCTCTTGGGAATGCCCTGGTGGCGCACGGGGAGAGTTCCCCTTTCATCCTTGACCACCCGTTCGGTGTGGACTGGTCTCCCTCACCTCCACTCACCTCGCTCGCGATGGTCACCACGGGCCTCGTTTGCACAAAAAACGGGCTGCGGATGCCTCTTCCGCGCCGACTCTCCGCATTCAAAGTTCAATCGCCCCACATTCCCCAAATTTGCCCCTCGTGCCTCTGCCCCACATGATCAACATGACGAGTTTCTTGCCCAGCGTCTGCCCTTTTCACATGTGAATTGGCTTGGACAAAATCTACTTTTCTTTTTTGCTCGTGGCGTTGCGCAAGGGAAAAAAAAGGAGGTTGGGGGCACACTTGAAAGACGAGCCACGTGTGAAATTATGACGGCCAAACCCCCTAGGCGCATTCAGCCAAGCCATCGCCCAGTAAGCTGACCGTGCTCAACTCGACAGATCAACGATCCGGATATCGCCATGACAGCATCGTCAGCCAGGTACGGCCTTTTGTTTGGTCCACGCCCCCTCCCAAGCCGTTACTGACAAACGAGTCTAGACTTCCTCCTATGGAAACGGCCGCACGGCGCAGTTCCTCAACTCGCTCGAACTCCCCGATGCCGGATCCCAGCTTCCCGCGTTTGTGAGGCCGCTGCCTGCCAAGATCGCCCCCGAGGATGTGCAGTATCTCGCACTCAAGGGCGCCCTGACGCTGCCCAACATTACGCTGCAGAATGCGCTGCTGCAATGCTACATCGAGTACGTCTATCCGTACATGCCGCTGATCGACTTGCACCACTTCTTGAGCATTGTCGATCGCAGGGATGGCGTCAACGGCCAGACGAGCTTGTTGCTCTACCAGAGTATTATGTTTTCGGCGACGGCCTTTGTGGATATGAAGCATTTGAAGGAGGCCGGCTTTTCGTCAAGAAAGGCTGCTAGAAAGGCGTTTTTCCAGAAGACGAGGGTATGTTTCTTTCTTTTTTTTTTCCTTCGTGAATTCCCCCCCTTGAAAAACAGCCCCGTGACATGATGAGTGTTTCCTGTGCTGACCGACATGGAATAGCTCCTGTATGACTTTGACTATGAACAAGACCGCCTCGTGCTCGTCCAGTCTCTCATGCAAATGACCTACTGGTACGAGACCCCCGACGACCAAAAAGACACCTGGCACTGGATGGGCGTTGCCATTTCCCTCGCCCACACCATCGGCCTGCACCGCAACCCTGGGTCAACGTCCATGTCCACATCCAAGCAGCGTCTGTGGAAACGCATATGGTGGTCGTGCTTCATGCGAGATCGTCTCATTGCCCTCGGCATGCGCCGTCCGACCCGCATCAAGGACGAGGACTTTGACGTCCCCATGCTCGTGGAGAGCGATTTCGACATCCAGCCCCTCGCCGAGGGCATCAGTGTTGTCCCCCCCGAATGCACGCTCGTGCGAGACGTCGGTATGCAGCGCGAGCTGGCCGCCATGTGTATCTCCAAGGCGAAGCTGTGTCTCTGCATCAGCCACATGCTCAAGACGCAGTACTCGGTGCTTATCCGTGACAAGATGAAGCCCGAGAACACGACAAACAGCACCATGATGCTGTTCCCCAACAAGCAGATGGACAACGTGGACAGCGTCAACACCGTCGACCTCGAACTCAGCGCCTGGGCCGCTTCCCTCCCGGATGTCTGCCAGTACCGACCCCTGAACCCCCTCGACGTCAGGGACGGCAGGTCGACCATTGCCGTCCAACGAACCCTCCTGCACATGGTCTACCACACCACCATCTCGGCCCTCCACCGGCCCCAATTCCTACCCTCGTCGCCGACCCAAGCGCCCACTACATCTCGTCAGGTCCAGGAAATGTCCCGTCTGCGCGTCCGCGACGCCGCCTCCCAAATCACCCGCATGGCCACCGAGCTGCAGCACCTCCGGCTGGAGAAGTTCCTACCCACGACGGGCGTCACCGTCATCCTCCCCGCCATGATCATCCACCTCCTCGAGATGAAGTCGCCCTCCTCGCAGGCCCGGGACCGTGCCACCCGAGGCTTCCGCCAGTGCATGCGCGTCATGGAGAAGCTGCGCGAGATCTACGCCGCCGCCGACTACGCGACGGGCTTCCTCGACGCCGCCCTCCGCAAGGCCGCCATCGACATCAACACCAACGTCGGCCACCAGACCCTCTCTGCCATGAAGGCGGACCTGCCTGCCGAGTTCAACGCCCAGACCACGCCACCCCCGGACAACCTGCCATACATGACGGCCTCGGAGTCCCTCTTCACCGAGAAGCCCAGGCCGCCCCTCAGGACCATGCCCATGCCGCCGCCGGCCACTGTCAACGCCGCGGCCCTCGAGCTCTCGACCAACTCCCCGCCCCAGACGGACTTTGACTCGGCGCAGCTCACGCCCAGCGCGAGCGGCCAGTCGGAACCGCAGCTCGTCGACCTCGACACAATGGACCTCGATTTCATGCAGGGCCACGACGAATTCGACTGGAACGCCGTCGCCGGCACCGACTTTGATGTCGACCAGTGGCTGCAGTTCCCCGACGCCGGCTCCAACCCCAATCCCAACCCCAGCGCCATCGGGGGCGAGGACCTGGCCGCGGGATTGTTTGACAATGCCAACACGGCAAAGTTGATGGAGGAGACGCTAGATCTAGCGGCGTTGGACAATGAAGGGGACACGAACATGGCCGTCGAGGCCGTGCAGCTGGAGGCTAGTGTTTTGTAATTTTTTCCGTCATTATTTTGGGACGGTCCGTTTGTTTTGGTCATGTATGGATGCATTCACGGCGCTAAGTGTACTATCGGTCAAAAGGAATGAGAAATGACTCTTGATGCAATCACTCTGTCTTGTGTCTGCCTGTGACGTTGTGTCGCTCCATCATTTGCCACTGTCTGGAGTAGTTGCTACCATGGGTAGTCTTCCCTTGTGCAACTGTGGCGTAAGAGCTGGTATACGATACCAGTGACCGGCTGGCGGAGCATAGGTGGCTTCTT